CGTATCTCCGCGCGCCCATGTAATATCCTCTATTTCTTTGTTTTTAATCTTGAGCTATCTTGTCGTTGTGGATTAGTTGGTTGGTTGATTTTGTTTTTCTCTTAGATTTTTTGGTTGGTTTTGTTTTTGCTTTTTATCTTTGTTTCGTTTTTTCATTTTTCTAATGACACATACAAAATCTGTTATTGTCTTAAGTTATATACACGAATTGTCTTGTTTTCATTGCTTTTTTAGCTGCAAGTTATAACATCACCAAAGCAAAGAATCAAGTAAGTATTGTACCAGCACATTACTGTTAAGAGTTACTGCAAAAAGGGCGCATTCGTAGTTATTCCAAATGCATTGAAATTGCGGTGAAGAAAATTCGGAAAACCTTTTTAGTTCTGGGAATATTGGCTCTCCCCTGGACCAAAATTTGATGATCTAATCAAATCGATATCACTTGACCCCGATTAACGACATCCATTGAACCAGTCATAACACTTGCTAGAATGCCTTGACTATGAGCCGTCACGGTCACGGCAAACCGCGTTCGTTTAATTTTCTCCAATCATGTAAAACCTGTTTTGCCGACCTTCAAGTTTTATGGAAAACCCTGAAACAACCTCTGGGGCAGCCAACTCACAGATTGAATTTTGAAACTACCTCTGGGCTGATCAAAGTCAGGGCAAGAATAACTCACAGATTGAACCCTGAAACAACCTGCTGACCTAACGGACAACTTACAGATCGAATAAGAAGTTTAGCTTAGTTAGTGTCAGGTTTTACGGAGGTARAAAATCTAGATTCCAAAGTACCCATAGAAGGAAACCCTCTACTAAATTATTATATTTTTATGCTTTACTTTTAGGCGACCTTAGCTTCGTTGATGAAGCTGTTTGAACGGGACATGAAGCTCGACCCATCCTTGCCTTCAGAAAAAGAAGAAATAAAGTTTCAGGTTCATGAACGGTCATGAAACAAAGTGGTGTTAAAATAAAACGATATTCAAATTCTTTATTGAGTTGAGCCAGTAGTCAAATTTATTAAATTAAAGTTGAGCATTATTTTCAGTTACGACGGCTAACGCGTCATTTATGTAGAAAGAAAGAAAGAAAAAAAAAGCGACTATCTGGATCCTTTGGATCATAGTAGCCCAGAATGAGTTTCAGTGATTAGCCCTGATAAAGGACTCAAATAACGTTGGCAACCATTTAGTATCTGATCCGTTATTTCTCCTTTTACGACAAACATGAAACGTCAGTTGACCATTGAAAACGTCTTTAAAATTAGTGACATGGAATGGCAAAGATCTCCAAGTAGAAGATAAACAAAAGAATATTTAATTTTGTGTTTGGTGAGAAGGCTTTGCAAAAGGTCAAGTGAAATACAGGGAAACAATGAAAACCTGTTAATGTCTGCAGTTCGCTATTCTCTCTCTAGTTCGTGGGAAGAAAAAAAACGCGATGCAACTGTAATATTTGTCGTTATAAAATCTGTATTTTAGTATTGTCTTGGATATCTAGGCTTCAATCAAACAGCCATAAGTGTATAAGAATCTATACTAAATTCAGTTAATGTTTCTGAACTAGTATATATTACGTCCATGCCTCCAGAGTACACGAGTGTCGAGTATTCTTGGTGTTAAGTGGGGACATTTCTTTTGACAGTTCTTGATATTTTCAGGTAGGGGTCAAAAATAAACTAGAACATAAGAGGAAACTAAACGAGACTTACCTCGAATATTTAATGTTACCAAACATTGTGTTATCCGAAAAAATTTAGATGAGAGCCTAAACGATAATCATGTTTCATTTTTTTCGTGTTCCAGTTGAATTTCGCATGAATCGTGGTTTCGTTATTTTCTGTCTTTAGTGTTTTAATCCCGTGTGTCCGAAATAGAAATGAACGTGACCGTCATAATTGCTTACTATCAATCACGTGACTTTTTGGAGTTGACTGGGGGGCAAACAAGCGGTTGATTGGGGGGCAACTAGCGGATGCTAAGTCAAAACATATCAAAATAAGTCCTCAAACTATTGTATTTGACTATTTTCACGACATCAAACCAGAAAACAAGAGATCAAAACAACCTCCATGATTCTTACAAGCCATCAAAAAAGAGCTATTACCGGAAGTGACGTCTATTGATAGCAACCTATTGAAAGAGAACACAAAAGTCGGCTAATTTGTTATGGTTTAGACGAGAATGCAAATCAAAGAAAAGATAATATAATCATTTATTATGAGCCGAGAAGCCTCGCCATGAAACGCGCTAAAACTTTGGTACATGTCGCATTTTCACAACAACAGTAAATAACGCGTTTGCACGACATGCAAGTTTGATGAAGAAGTTTGTCTCGACTTTGTCTCTCTTTGTGAGAGAATGATAAGGACTGAGCTCCCTGTGGAGGGAGTTTGAGTGACATGTGAGAGAAGAGCCGTGAGAGCACGAGAGATGTGTTTGGAGAAAAGGATGTTGTGAGAGAGAATCGGAATTGTAAAGAGGATAAACTCGTTATTTGGATTAAATCTTAAAGCAGGAGTTGGAGACTATATTCATAAATTATCGTACACTCTTTTGAACGGGGAGAAAGTCTTGGTCGCATGCACAGAGCAAGACGTAAATGGAAAAATTTATCCTTAACTAAACAATGGACCACAAACTTGGGGTCAGCTATCTTAACAGGTGCTTTGATATCATCTTTAAAGGTTCATTTATTAGTCATCTATAATTCAGAGCATGTAGTTAATGACACCGTTTTGCCAGTCGTTATATGATATCATCTAACAAGCAACAGTTTCTTTGATCGATACCTTTCAAGCTTGTTCCAAAAAAGTTTTTTTATCATGATATCTAAGGTTACTCCTTGGGTGGTTTTGATGGCATTTGTGTCATGTATAGTGATGAGTGAGAGTGGTAATGACGTTGGGGATAGCAAGAGGAGACATGTAGTAGTGGTTAATCCTTCACATAAATCTTCGAAAATTTCACATCCTGGTTCAGGTACGTATGCAAATCTTTAAACCTTTGATTTTTTTTCTACTGAATCAATCAACTTCTGGCAGGGCTGATCGAAGCAGCCGGGTTTTGGTAGTAGTTTTTTTATTCATGATAGGGGAGGGTAAGGCGATACAAATACAAAATAACACCTTAGTTAATAACGAGTTCTATTGTTAGCAAAAGTAGGCGAGGCGGCCCGTCTTCTTCGTCCAAATACAGTCGACTCTCGTTACAYCAGACACCCCCGGGACTGTTCACTTGGTGTCCCTTCTTTAATGATATTTTTTGCCAGGGACTCTGCTGCCGTCCGTAATAGCCAGGTGTYCGTAATATCGGGGTATCCAGAAGCCGATAGTTGACTGTAAAAAGCGAAATAAAGGAATTGCGAAAACATAGTGTTTAATGTGAAATGAGCCGTTTGAAAATTATGTTATAAAATCTGAAAATATKGCAAAAGTCGATAAAGAAAATCGCACGATCTGCTCGAGTACAATTCGGAATTCATAGGTACGAGTGGTTTCTTGAGAGTTTTCAAAACTGGAAGAGCCGTTAGGCGAGTCCAATTTGAGAACTTTCAAAAAATCAGAAGCATCTATAAATTCCGAATTGTACGAGAAGATTGTGCGTATTTTTCTTTATAATACACTCAACAAAATTGAGTGACTGACTTGATAGGGACTCTACAAGAGTACAATTTGGGATTTAATTGTACTCCTCTTGTCCAATCAGAATCGAGTAATTTTGTTGAGTGTATTTTAGAGCATTAAAGAAGGCGAGACGAACTGGACAGCCAACATGTCCCCTGGCCTGGTACGAAAAAACTTGAACTGAACTAGTATGCTTTATAGTATTTAAAAAATATAAGAAAAATATAGCAATCATATTTTGATGATGCTTTTCCATGTCATAGACGTTATTGTCATTGGGCACGGTGAAGAGAGTGGGGATGAGGAAGATATAGACAAAGAAACTGTGAGTATCTTAGGCCTAGGGCAAACGTCGAACTTTCCATGCACCGAACTCATTGAAAACAATGGATATCAGGTGATAATGAGGCGGCATTCTTTGATGTAATTAAGTTCGGTGCATGTAAAKTTCGACGTTTGCCCCAGGCCTTACTTAGTTGGGGTAACAAACTATTTAAGCATTAATTATGCATTCCGTATACCAAGAGTGGCTTCGCCTCGTTAGGTCTATAACCTTTACGTGAATTTCCTTCAGTTAGTTGCGCATCCAGGGGTGGTTTCTTGAGTTCCATGTTAAACCCTTTTKTGAAGCCCATCATGATCTTTACACTCAGAAGAATGAAATTGAACTCCCCTATATGTGAAGCCAATCGCACCACCTTTACACTTAGCCTCCTCCACAGGCATCTGCTTTGCTGWTTTTTGCTCCTTGGACTTCCTGTGGCGAGGACAAAAAAGACTCCTCCTATCTCGTTGCTAGTTCTTCTCTGCAATAAAATCTAACACAGGGATCCCAAGAGAGAATATCATACCTCGACTTGTGATCACTAATTCTAAAAAGTTATATCAGTTAATATTCACCGCTTTTGATAAATCATGTCTTCATTTTACTTCTAAATTTCAGATTTCGACCTTATCAAACAATATCCTATCAACCACTAATCTTGTGCACTCTCAGTCACAACTGATCGAAAATCTGGGCAATCAGCTCCAAAAACTACATCATTCATTAAACGCACAAAATGGAAAAATAACAAGCGATATCCAGTTAACTAGAGAGGAATTGATGGAAGTCAACGAGAAGGTACGCAACGCGACCAACCTGGCAAATGTCATGGTTTTAATGTGGAGTAAATCGGAAAAAAAATTGGTCAAAATTGTCGACAAACTGGAAAATAAGATAGCCGAGGAGAAAGCTGTAGCTGATAGAAACAACAAGATGTGGGAAGAGAGACTTAAATCTTTAGAGAAAAAGTTGGGAAGATTGCAAATTGATACTGATAACGCACGACGATTGGCTGCTTCCAAGAGATCACGTGAGTCACATAATATTGACGTAATCTATTTTGGAAGGTTCGAGGAGGCTCTCTTGCTCCAGTGCTCCTCGGTCGTAGGTTTCTAAGAAGCACTAGAGCAAGAAGGCCTCTGGAACTCAGGAGTGCTAACCATTTAAACCAATCCACTGATCCAGTTGGAAATTCATTTGCAAATGGTAAGAAAAGTGCGGGAAACTTTGACTTTCGAAAAATGGTACACGCGTCTACCGAAAGAACCGGAGTAGAATCCCTCTGGAAAACAGGGTAATCGGAATGATACATACCATTTGTTTCCTAACCGGAATTTCCGGYTTTTCTTGATAAATGGTAAGCACCCCAGGGTAGGAGTTTTATAATCGACATTTACCTCCTCCAAGAATACAAAAAAAAATCTCTCTCGCTAATTTATTACTTCTATGCTTTCAGGTTGGCCTCGGGGTCGATACTGCATATTAGCCAATGGAGCATGTCCGGCCGGGTTTTATAGACAACGTGGATTCCTGAAAACAATATATATGTATAGTAGCAGCGGGGACTATATCAAGAGCATGCGCATGGGTAGCAGTTATATTGGTTGCTATGGGCAACATTGTGGTCAATATGGACACTATGCCACCATCAATATTGCGACTTGCTGCAAGTGATTAATCTCTGCCAATATGAATAGTCATAGATACGTGTAAATCATGTAGATATATAAACCATCTGTACACAGTTCTCATAATAGCCCACTTCCGAGATATGCTTTACTTGTCACGCACAAAGGTTTMAGGATGAGGCTACGTGCTAAATGCTCAGTCATTTGTGACAGGYGGTTAGAATAAATTTAATTTAGAACCTAGCCTCATACTGAAACCTTTGTGCGTGACGAGTGAAGTATATCTCGGAGGTAGGCTATTCTTAAAAGTAGCCGCCATCTTGATTGAGTGTAAAATATGTGATAGAGAAAATAGATTGCGTATGACTATTAGAAAGCCGCTGAAGGCTGGAAATGCCGTGACCGACACGGTGTCGAGCCAAGTATCCCGATTGGATAAACAGTCATTTCGTTTGCTGTCAGTAATTGGTTAAAAATGAAATTGGTACCGTGACCGTTACGGTGTTGCTTCAAACATCCTGATAGGTTCATTATCCAGTGATTTCGCGTACTATGAATGGTTCAACGAATGTTTTGGTCAGACGAAATCTAACCTATCTAGGTTGTTTGCGTTGTATTCTGTAGAAATACCTGGCTTCGTGCCATACTATGGCGAAGCAAAATGAACCTGGAACAGGGAGTCCATTAGAAAATAGTTGTCAATGGATACAATAAAACGATAACTAAAATTAAATTTCTAATCGTATTACCACTCTATAATCCCATATAAGCAACTACTGTATTATTTTCAAATTCTCTTTCCTCAGTCCAAATTAAAGATTAATTTGGATCGTTTCCATTCGCATTCTTTCGAGGGAAAACTATGACTCATGGAATCAGTCTAGTATAGTTTGGGATGATATAATTAATCTGCAATAGGATAACGTGTCCATTTTGCCAAATTGGACTCGGCCTATTTACCTCTTCCAATTTTGTGCCATTTTGGACTCTTTGAAAAACCACTTGTGCAAATTTATTCCAGATTGCATTCGAAACCACTATATTATAATAACAATAACAATAACAACAACAACAATAATAATGATGATGATAATAATAATAATGATAATAAATAATAATAATAATAACAATAATAATAATAATGATAGCATATATGTATTTTAGTGCACTTTTTCTTCACAAATAATTTAAAAAGAAAGAACAAAAAATCACATATTCATTTCATTCGATAGAAGCAAAAGCGTTTGATTATTTGATTCAATTACTGTCAGTCAGTCTACACAAAGTGATACTTCAGTCCATTATAATGTCCTCATTCGATTCCGGCTTTTACATCTTCCGTGACTCAGAGTACTTTCAAAAACCTTCAAAAAGACTGACATTTTCAATAACACGAAAGTAATATTCTGAGTTTCCGCACGATTGATGACATGAATGCCTTACAATTGACATCATAGCAGCTGTTTTGGGACCCAATGCATCAAGAAGTGGTTTATTCTTCTACTATGTACTAAAGTCACAAATTGTGGTGATGCCGCCGGTTTGAGTTAATATCGTACAAAAAAATCCTAAAGATTTCGCGCTGATGAAAACGATTCTTGACAAATGACTTATCAATTATATTAAATAGCGATTTAAACTTTAAGCTTTTAGAAGAAAAATTTCGAAGTAAATTGCAAGTGAAAAAAACTTTCAACTGCGATAAGAAAAGAAGGGAAAAAATGCATCACAATCTCAGCATATGTACAGTCGTAAATTGTCTCGTGTTTTAAGTTTTCCACTTTAATATTTCTTTAAAAGCTTGGCGGAAATTCGTGCTTTGAAAAGAATACAAAAATGGGTTGATAGCATTCTCTAAGAAAAAAACGGCCACACTCGCGGTAAAAACCTCATGAGATACTTTYTCAAGAGACTTAAAAATTCCAAGAATGCCCAAAGGAAGAAGAAACACTGTGTTTGCTGCAGTGACTGTAAGAGCGACTTTTATGAGTTTTCGTTTGGACTGCYTGTCTGCCTCAGCGAGGGCGTTATTTTGTGGTGCTACCGTCTTCTTGAAATAAAGTTCTCTCACTACTTGGAAATAACAGAARAAAGTAACTGCAAGAGGTAAAAGTATTACCAGTACTGCAAAAGGGATGACAGAGCTTCCGTAAAAGTCTACATTCCCAGGGTAYCCATGCTTGCAAATCACGTTGTAATAACCAAATATATAGAGTGGTGAAGTTATTAAGAGAGCAAACACCCAGACAGCGATGATGGCGTATTTTACTGTATCTTCACGAAGCCTCACTCCTGACCTCATTGGCTTCACGATCGCATGGTATCTTTCTATAGCTACTACWGCGAGTGTGAAAATAGATGCTGAACTTGAGGTCACAGGGACATGGTAGTCCATGACAAACTTACACAACAGATCGGCCCAGATACCCTTTGGCAATGATATAATACGCTGTAGACTCAGCAAAGGAATAAAAACAGAAGTTATCAAGTCAGCTACCGCAACATTGGCAAGAAGAATGTTCGTAGTTGTTCGTAAAGATCGTTTTTTTCTTACCGCGATGACGACGAGAGAATTGCCAACAGCTGCGATGATGACAAAAGTGGCACCAATAGAAATAAGAGCAATCATCTTGGGTCGTAATAAATACGAACTCTTTTCTTCTTCCACCGCCATTTTCTGATGCTAGAACAGATATGTTTCTTATAAGTTGGAAGTGAATATTAACAGTCAAGTTGGAGCGAATGTTTTAAGTGGCAAGCCTTTTCCRCTCATATAACTTCAAGTTATCCCTTTTCGCTGATCAGTATTAATTAGGTTTGGCAGCTACACCGATGATTGGTTGAAGCAACACGACATCTACAAGCTGGAGTATGAGGGGAGGGGGGGGGGGTACTCCCCTATATTTGCTATACGGGTATGTGCAGCCCTATAGGGTATGGTTTTTCGGCTTTTGGGTCTGGGGTAGGGTATCATTTTTTGACATTTTGTCTGGGATAGGGTATCATTTTAGTCTGGGATAGGGTTAACGATTTGATCATTTTTGTCTGGCGAATAGGCTACGCTTTCTGCCGGCACAAAAACAATAAAAACGTTAGTAAATATTGATTGCAATCTATTGAAAAACCGTCTTTTCCGTCTTATAGTCTGGGATAGGGTGTACAATTCTTAGTTTCAGTCTGGGGTAGGATATGTAAAATCAAAGTTTTAGGTCTGGGATAKGGTCAGGGTTTTGAGGTCCTGGCGGCACACCCCTACCCAAGTTGGGGTGGTAGTACCCCCCCCCCCTCCACGGGTGGTTGGTCTACCAGCTGCCAGAGTGCTATGCCGTATGACAATGTCTTCGCCTTTTCAAAGAGAAAGGGCGAATAGCAAAATAACTGATTTCCATCGCATACTAATTGTTTGATCTCAACATCTGCTGTATATAACGAGTTACCGTAGCCTGGATTCCCTGCAATGTCGTATCAGTGCGCAATTTCTGGTAATCAATATTTCAACTTCAAGCCGAGATAAGCAAATTGCAAAATCAGTGTTCTAGATGTTCTTTTGTGTATTCACTATATATATAATTTCCGACCTCCCAATTAATTGCGTGCCATCAAGCATAGCGCCTTTTGTAGCCAGGCGAGCTCGAAATCACTAGAAAGTTTCTAAATACCGGCCATAATTGCTATCCAGCAGCTAAAATAGATCAAACCACTCTAGGTTATTAGAAAATACTATGGCCATGGCATCACTGGATAGTGGGCCGCTCTTTCTTATCTTTGTCTTCTATTAATTTTAAGGCACAAAACTGTAGAAATCAATAGTAAAATATTGTATTCCTATGCCAAATGCAATCTTGTTTCAATGTCCGTCGGTCCTAAGTCTAACGACAATGGAAGGAATTTTCCAGTTGGCTAGGGTTTCAAGGCTTGCCAACCACCCCAACTTGGTTAGGGGTGTRCCGCCAGGACCTCAAAACCATGACCCTATCCCAGACCTAAAATTTTGATTTTACATACCCTACTCCAGACTAAGACTAAGAATTGTACACCCTATMCCAGACTAAACCCGGTTAGTCAATAGATTGCAATCAATATTTACTAACGTGCTTATTGTTTTTGTGTCGTCAGAAAGCGTAGCCTATTCGCCAGATAAAAACGACCAAATCTTGAACCCTATCCCAGACTAAACGACCAAATCTCAACCCTATCCCAGGCAAAAATGATACCTATACGTACAAGTGTCTATGTGTATATGGTGTATGTGTATATCGTAGGTCAGCCTGAGACTCACTGTAGACTATAGTGTATAATTTGTACACGTGTCTATGTGTACATATACAATAAAAGTGTCTATATGTAGATGGTGTATATGTGTATATGGAAGGTCAGCCTGAGACTCACTGCAGACTATAGTGTATATATACAAGTGTCTATGAGTACATATACAAAAGTGTCTATGTGTATATGGTGTATATGTGTATATGGAAGGTCAGTCCGGGACTCACTGTTGACTATAGTGTATATGTACGAGTGTCTATGAGTACATATACAAAAGTGTCTGTGTATATGGGTATATGGTGTGTATGTGTATAATATATGGTGTTTATGTGTATCTACACTTATTTCAATAAAGTTAGTCACCAAAAACCTAGAAAGCTGAGATCACTGAGCATCATGGGAAACTTTTCATATCAAATAAGCATATATATACAAAGCTTTTTTAATACAAACTTCAGCTCGATGATGCTCAGAAGAGGTGAGACTGTAACCGGTAAAAGATTCGCAAGTCCATGAACAGTTATCAAGCAGTTGAACGTGTAAAATGAATCTACCCATAATCCTTGTAGGCCTCAGCTTTATAGCTTTTCGGGTGACTAACTTTATTGAAATAASTGTATACATACGTACATATCAATGACAGGTATATATTAAGAGGGATGAATACGTATATGGAACATGTATATAGGTGTATWTATACAGACGTACATAGTTAGATTCAGGACAGGGATATACTGAGATAGAGCCCAAGGTTTCGTCGCTKACTATAAAATCATGCTATACCAAATCAGTTATCTCATGTAAACCTACGTAGACATGATCGTGAACCCAGCAGAATACCAGTACGAACTCTGAAAAGTCTGAGAAACAAAAGCAGAAAGCTGAAAGAGYTTATCTTCAAACGTATTCGTCCCGAGTATACCRAAGTCCTCCAAGCTTCATTATTGTTATGTGAAGGCTAGAAAACTTACAAAATGAATGTAAGCTGAATACTAAGAGAATAAGCTTGAATAAAGTCACACAACATGAAAAGAAGCTTTTGTTTAATTGCTCTARCRGGGTTTATAAAGGGATAATGAAGTCGAAATATCATAGAGCTAGTCGGTATTTATCATTGTTTACTTGTAATAGTTTGATGTGTCTCTACAAGACTACAAGAACCATATGCCAAATTATTGTAAATTTAAACTGAGTACAGACATAGAGAAGAACCCTGGTCCTGCTCCAATGTACATTGACCCTAGCAAAACAATAACAGTACCATATAGCCAAGGTAATGAACTGGTATTTGGACAAAATTCTGGACAACAGTTACCCTGGGCTCCAGAGGTTCTATTCGCTTTTCCCGGAACACTGAACGAGGCTATTCGTCAACACAGTAAATGCCGGAGCGAGAATGCAATAACCTCTGRGCCCCAGGGTAGACAACAGTGTGTTGCAATGAGTTTGTGCTCTTTGATTTACAATAACAAGCAAGGAGYTAATTCTACCAATGACCTCATGTTAATTATGGATATTGGAAATCAGTTGTATTCAAGTTTATCTCAATTAGCCAGACAGTCCTTTTTAATGCASTCAGAACTACCACCAATGCTAAATGTGTTTGACACTGACTATGAACTTCAATACAGTGAAAGCTACACTGGCACTATACATCAAGAGGCTGCCATAGAAGGATATTAGTACTGTACTTCTTTGCAAAGAGCCTTTGAATCACTTATAGCTGAAAACTACACCAATCTTGTGATAACAATAGGGAGTACTGCAGTTGCTATCTATCGTAATGGTAATGGTAATGTGGGTTCAAAATGCTTGATTCTCATGCAAGAGATGTGTATGGGAGAAGTCATGCCCAAGGTACATGTGTGCTGCTTGAAGTATTGTCTGGTAAAAAATCCTGATTGCCTTCCCTCAACATTTTTAGCTCGCGTGATTTACAAGAACAAATATCTTTTCGAAAGTCTAACAGACATTGCACCATCTAAAAAGATGACAATGTTCACAAAGAATTCTTTAGATTTTCTGCTATGAAGCCCGAGTTCACGCAGATATGTGTCTAGTTTATCGTTAATAAGAGGACAGACATAAATAAGGCTGATGTCTATTTGTTAACTCGGCGTTCAGAGTTTTGCTTTGATTTTGCCAGCGAGTATTTCCATGACAAGATCACGGCAGTCGTCAGCACAACCGAAACAAACGGATAGACCAGAACCACCGTGACCGTAGTTATGGACAACCTGCAATAAAACAGTTTTGTTTCATTTTCTTAACTACTTTTGTTACTAGTAATGTGGCGGACACAATTTGACCTCACATTTGACCCAATATCTAGCGAACATTTGATCCAATATCTAGCGAACATTTGATCCAATATTTTGGCCCAACATTTTGCCATTTACATTTTGACCCATAGTAAGACAACATTCGAACGAAAAATTTGACCAACTGGACTTTTAGCCAACATATGACCCAATATTTAGCAATTTTCATTTACCCAACATTTTGACTCAGTCATCATTTTGACCCAGATTCAACATTTGACCCAACCATGGCAAAGGGTCTCAACATTGATCCCAAGAAATGTTGGCTAAATGTTCAGGCAAATGTTGGGGCCGTTTGTCAGGGTCTTTACTGGAACCACTTTTACAAAGTTTGCCCAATGATCATGATGAAGAGAGAGAAAACAAAGCAATCCAACTTTAGCCAATCAGGACCAAGCAACAAATCATACATATCTAGCAGACAATTTAGATGTCATAAATAATTGTAGGATTGGCTTGGATCAAAATGCAACCGATTTTACCCCAAGTGAGTAGCAAATCTCGCGCATTGTTATTCTCGAATGTTGTCCAGTTACAACGCGAGTTTCAGCGTTCACGTTTTGGCGGGAAAGTTCCCGTCAAATCCACAGGAATCCCATAAGTACAATCTGAAAAATAACTTCAATCCCAAAGGGCTGTTGTACTGGAATAATTGTCACGCATTACACTTTAACCGTTTTATGTGTAACGACCTCGTGTTGCACATACCGGGGAATTTACTATATGAGCCTGAAGCGAGATGACGTTTTACCACCCGTCTCTAGACCATAATAGTTTTAAAAATTCTTTCATATTAAAATTTTTGATTCCTTAGAGAATACAGGAACAATAGTCATAATTAAAGAACAAAAGCAGTGTGAAAAGGATTATGGTCTAGAGACGGGGATAAAACGTCATCTCGCTTCAGGCTTATTTGAGACCTTTAGCACGACTTTTTGCTAGGTACCGCAAACCTCAAACTGTAGTTCGACGTCAGGTGTTTTCCGTCAAACTTTCGACATTTAGCAAGGCGTCATAACGAAGTTGTTGCCGGAAGAGCCGCCATATTGAATTTCATTGATGCTGAGTGTTTCTCGGCTGTGTTTACGGGCCTGTTTCTGGGCCTGATCCCTAACGGTTTGTGGTTAGCGGAAAACTTGATGCTAAAGGTCTCTAATGTMAATGAAGGTCCTATCACCTAAAGTATCTTATAAATGAATCAAGGTCCTTACATTGAGAATTTTTTCTGCTCCTCGATCATCAGTMAATTTCATTGATTCTTTCTCGAGTCTGACAACAGATCTACCTGGTCGAAGACCAGCCCAGTTATCAACAATAGGTGCTTTCTGAAAAATAAAACGTTCTTATTTAGCGTTATGTCATATAACAACGATCCTAAATCAGTATTTAGTTGTCAACAAAAAAGCAGCATTTAAGGTGATGTTACACGGAATGATTCGTAAGGTATTAAAATACATGTTGCACGAGTCAACTCTTCCTGCAATGTTAGTTCGAAATCAACTGGTGCTATTCATGGGTTCTTCATGGGACGATTTTGAGGACAACAAAAAGTGACATCACCTTCCCCAGTCCGCGCGCCGTTGTTAGTTGACATCGCGTCGCTCCTATGAGTAGTACTGAACTGTATTATGGGTGAGAGGTTATCGAAAATTCGTCGATGAAGATGCTACACGAATCTTCTTCACCATTCTGCGTTGCGAGTTTTTTTTAGCCTTTTAAGGTGAACTGATCCGCCTCACCTTTAAGCTTGGAATGATTTTACTGGCTTCAGACAGAATGGTAACAGTATCTTCAAGAGTTGGTTTTTCATTGTAACTGTTATAGTGTTTGGTTCCTCCAATCACTACTGAGTTAAGCCTAGCAGACACAAAAAAAGACATTTCGGCAAGAAGAACATTCAATAAGAATAAGAACAATAATAAGAATTAGAATAAAAATAGGAATAAATAGCAAACCAATCAAGTGTAAACATGTCTTTTGATTCTGAAATAAAATATTATCGCYGAAAATAAAATGGTTTAAGTTCATAATAAAGGTGGTTTTACATTAGTCAATGGTCCTCGTAGCTAATGTTCCCCCCTAAAACAGCCATGAAACGAGTACGTGCGCAACGTTAGTGCAGTTTTCGTATGACTGTGAAAAGCTCAGTGCCGTGCCGTGATGTTTTCTAGAATTTTAATTGGCTGATTTTTTTCTCGCGCAATGTGTTTGGTCTGAAAGAGCCGTGACTTTGGCGTGACCGTGTCCGCGCCGTGTTTATGCCGTGTTCTGGGTATTTGATTGGATGGAGAGTGAATTATCGAGCAATGTGATTGGTCTGGCGTATCCCTAGCCGTGGCAAGAACGTGTTCGTGCCGTGAGCTTTTCACGGTCAAGCGAAAACTGCTCTTTCATGACTTTCTGGGTGTGATTCCTAGGTGAGAAGCATTATGAATACCCCCGGGTCGGCAGTTGCCTATTTATGCGAGAAAATCCAAGGTTTCGGCTTCATTTGTTCAGGTTCGCTGTACCAGTCAGTGCTAGACGGATTTTTGACCCCACCCATCTCCCCTTTGGCGACGTTTCTCCATTATAACAGTTCAGTCCGGTAGCTTAATCACAGCCTCGGCAAAACTCGTGTTCCCAAAACTTAACCGCGTGTATACTAATTATTATACTAATTTCACAATCAGAGAAGGGGGGGGGGGGGGGGGGGTTGGGTTCACGACAATCTGGTTATGCATGCATTTCTAATTGCATTACTTTCGTTACCAATTTCTACTCACCTCTTGAATACTCCCCCCCCCCCCCCCCCCACCTCTTGCCTTTGCAGAGTAAGGACGTTAGGGCACCCTCGGCTCCACCCCGTGCTTTTATACCTGATAAAACACTCCTACTTGCTTATTCAACACTATACTTACTGTGGAACGATATAGCTACATTGACCCCGTTTTGCCCCTTCCGTTGTGTCATAGAAAAAGAAATGCATTACTGAGGGAGCTTTAACCTAGGACAAAGAAAAGTGCACACTAAAGACCTCTTTACCTTTGGCGTAATGTTTTCCCATTTCAGACCACGTGTCAATTCCTAGAGTATCATTTCTTTGTTTAACGGTTGCRCAMGAGAAGACACATGAATATGGATATAACTCAAACAAAGAATCATATTCTCAAGGAAATGACACATARCCCAAAAAGGGAAAACATTACGCCAAAACTAAAGAGGTCTTTTTSGAGGGAAATTTCCATAGAAAGTTGATCCGTGGCTTTTTTAACGAAAATTTTTATGAAGACACAGAAATCAAAAGGCAAAATAAGATGCAAGAGGCAAAGGGATTAAAGGTTTAGGAGTCTCAAGGCAAGGTATATTTATGACAAGCAGTGAACAAGAAACAGTGCAAACTTCAGGATTTGCTATCATCTTGTTAGAGAAGGCACGTCTCTTATTGTTAAAGATGCAAGAGGCAAAGGGATTAAAGGTTTAGGAGTCTCAAGGCAAGGTATAATTATGACAAGCAGTGACAAGAAACAGTGCAAACTTCAGGATTTGTTATCATCTTGTTAGAGAAGGCACGTTTTTTATTGTTAAGAACCTTCCCGTATTCAGAATCAAATGGGAATTGATTTAAAATTTTGTTTGAGTAGTCTTGGTTAATGTAGTCACACTGTAAATTGATGGTTTTCACTGCAGCCATGTTGGAGGAACTTAACAAAAGAATTCATTGGAAATTCTTTTGTTATATCCTCCAACATGGCCACCTTGTCTTTTGTTATTTCATTCTCTTGGGAATGGTTGAAAACCATCAATTAAAATTGTCATTGGGCTTACTCTCAATACTTGTCCTCTGACAGGATAGACCGAAGTATCACCAACAAGCTCTCCAGCAGAAATACCAGCACAGTTTACAACAACATCATAATCTGAAAGCTAAAGAAAACAGAGCGTTTTCACCCAATGGGCTGCATGTGGATATATATGTCCATAAACATTGTTGTAATACATTAATGTAGACAAACTCATCTGCAGTCTGAACCAGTACATCCCTCATGGCACTGACCACTTGACAATACTCTTTTGGGCKGGAGCAGCATGGTTGAGTGGTCACAGCATTGGTCTCGCAATCTGGTGGCAGAGGTTCATGTCCCGCTGTGACCACTAGCTGACACTGTATGAGCCCTAAATTTTTGATTAGCTCAAATGCAGTTTCTYGGCCATGCTTGTAAATAGCCAACTGRCTTGCCTATTTGCCAGTTGGTATTCTCAAAACATTTTAATTATGTTTCTATTTCCTCATTTCAGTTTACTCATTCTTGTAAGAGCATTGAGACTTTGTAGAATGCTCCTAATAAAATAT